CCACTAAGTGGATACATAATTGATTAAACAATTGCAAATAGAATGATGTCAAATTGGAGGGAAGTCTCAAGTGGGGTTCCATGGGGATCTGCTCTGGGTCCAGTGCTTTTCACATCTTCACGAATGACCTTGATATAGGAACAGAGAGCTCACAGATCAAGTCTGCAGATGACACAAAGCAGGATGGCAGCGGTATTTGCAAACACTTTGGAGGACAGAGCTAATATTCAACTGAATCCTGATGAATTGGGAGTACTGGGCAAAAGATAAGAAAATGAAATTTAACAAAGACAAATGGAAGGTGATGCACTTTGGGAAGAAAAATCAATTGCACAAATACAGAACAGAGGATAACTGGCTTGGCAGCAGCACCACTAAGAAGGATCTGGGTTGTTATGGATCACAACCTCAACAGAAGTCAGCAATTTGATAATGATGCTGCAAAAAAGCAATTGCATGTTTAGCAATTGCATTGGCAGAGGGATAGCAGTCAAGTCCCGGGAGGTGACAGTCCAGCTCTGCACTGGCTAGGCCTCGGTTGGAGTTCTGTGTCCGGTGGGGCCACCAATGTATAGAGAGGATGTGGAGAAATGGGGAAGGGTCCAGAGGTGAGGGACATACGAACAAAAGCTGAAGGAACTGGGCAGTCTGACCAAAGAGGAGATGAGGGAGGGAATATGATAGTGGTCTTCAAATACTTGAAAAGCTTCCATAAAAAAGGAGACAAGTTGTTTTCTCTTCCCTCGAGGGCAGAAGAGGCAATGGGGGTCAAACTACAGCATGGCAGATTTGGATTAAATCTCAGGAAAAACATCCTAACTGCAAGAACAGCAGGACAATAGAACAGATGTTCAGGGAGGTCATGGAAGCTCCTTCATTGGAAGTTTTCAAAAGGAGGCTGGAGCCATCTGTCTTGGATGTTCAAATATAACAAATTCTGCATCTTATCCAGGGGTTAGCTAGATCAGAGGTTCTCGAAAGGGGAGTAAGGCGGCAGACATGGAATGAATTCTAGGGGCTATGAGAAAGCTTTAGGGGGGGAAATACCTTATGTGCCATTCTGAGCTGAGTGCCAGAGAGCGGCGCCAGATGGCTGATTGCCCAGCACTGACATCAGTGCCAGCAGCAGTGCAGAAGGAAGGGTGATATGCTGTTGCTACTCCTAGTTCTGCACTGCTGATAAAGGTGGCACTGCCTTCAGATCTGTGTGCCCAGCCAGCAGCCGCTGCCAGCAGCAGCAGAGAAGTAAGCATCGCAATGCCGTACCATGCCGCTCTTATTTCTGCACTGCTACTGCTAGTAGCGGTTCTGCCTTCAAAGCTGGGCACCTGGCTGGCGACTGCCACATGCCACTCTGACTTCAGAGCTGGGTAGCTGAAGAGTGGCAGCTGCTGACAGGGTACTCAGTGATGTGGTTATGTAAACTACTACAAAGAAAAGGAGTGTGATCAGGTAAATTTGAGAACCGCGGGACTAGATGACTCTTGTAGCCCCATCTAAACCTATCATTCTAAAGAGCTTGACAGACAAATTATGCTTTACAATTGGTCTAATGCAGGATTTCTGAAGGACGTCACTAACTGCACAGAAGTTGGTGGAAATACACTCATTATACTATTCCCCAAGCCTGGTAAAAAGATGATAGTCACAATGACCTTTTATAAGCTGGTTTGTGGACACTGTGCTGACAAGGCAAATTAGTGACCAAAAGCAGGGCGGATAAAAATCAATGATCTTTTAAAAAAAATAAGAAAAATCAATTTTTTTTATTGAAATCAGATTTTTTTAAATGTTTTTAAAACATCAATAAAATACTACTTTTCTCACTTAAAAATGACAGTTACATTTAAATTTAATCACAAACATGCTACCCCTACACTTACAGTCTCATAAAAATGAATGAATGGTTCTAGTCTGTTGCCGGCAACAAGTCTGTCCAGCTTAACAACTAACTAGCTCTTGCTTTTTGAAAATCCTGGCCTTTCAATTTCTGTTTCTCTGCAGACTAAAGCCACAAGTGCAAAGACAGACATGCTGTACAGGGTTAGTTTTGTTCTGTGCTTATGTGGTGGTGGAATTAGTTAAGAAACTGTTTCAAAGACAGAGAGACAACAGATAGGAAAGGACGGAGACAGCATAGACAAGAACAGCAGAGTGGACTGGGAAGAAAGAGAAGACACTATTTAGCACGCACACAGCTTCCTCTATTCCCCACTTTTGCCACAGAAAACTGTGGCAGCTTCTAGGAGTAAGAGACCCTATCTGGGAAAATGATGAAGAAATTTGTTCCCTGGGTAAAAAAGGAAAATGTGTCAAGAGTAAGCAGGGCAAGAAGATGATGCAGGGCCTAGTTGCAAGAATGAAACATAAGAGAGCTAGTTGTAGAAGTTTTAAGGATCCTGTACATTAGGTGATCTGAAGATTTGTCCGTTAGAGTTCATAACATTTGAAAATAAAAACAAGTTTAAGGACAAGTATCAGAGGAGTAGCCGTGTTAGTCTGGATCTGCAAAAGCGACAAGGAGTCTTGTGGCACCTTACAGACTAACAAATGTATTGGAGCATAAGCTTCAGATGCATCTGACAAAGTGGGTCTTTGCCCACAATAGCTTATGCTCCAATACATCTGTAAGTTTAAGGATAGGTTTCAGCTGGCAACACAGGAGACAGTTGCAAAGGTGCAATATTTATATAACATTTACGATTTAGTTTAATAAAATATAAGTGCTATTGTGTTTGTATGTGTGATTTAGTTTTTAGCATTTCTCATGTACTGCTGCTGCATCTGCAGTTTGACACAGGTGAATATTATAAAAAATTAACATGTTTTAGTCATCAGATTTGTACTATTGTTTAACAAAAATGTGAAGCAGGACTCAGTAGGAAACTTGATTTAAATCAATGGTGTTTACTGGTGATTTAAATTGTGATTTAAATCAATTATTTAAATCAATCCACCCTGACCAAAAGCAAACTCATAATAAAAAGCTTTCACCCTAATTTTCAGATTTTAATAAGGCACCATTCGCAATTCTTATGCAAAAGCAGGTTTATGATTCTGGCTGATCAGTTTACACTGAGTCCATCAACTACTGTGGCTTCTGGCTAAATACAGTTTTCTTTACTGAGCCCCTAGCTTCTGTTTGTCAGAAGTTGAGAATGGGTGATGGGGTGGGATTAGTTGATGATCACCTGTCCTGTTCATTACTTCTGGGGCACCTGGCATTGGCCACTGTTGGAAGCCAGGACACTGTGTTAAATGGACCTTTGGTCTGATCCAGTGTGGCTGTTCTTATGTTCCTAATTAAACAGTAGCCATCTTTTGGATCTCACGGAGGCAGAAAACCTCCAGTAGCGAAGTTGTCATGTTATTTCAAGCAGGGATGTAAAATCCCATGTACTTTTTTAACCAGTTCAACATGATGCTGAACTGGTTAAAATGATTAAATGGAGGCGGGTGGGCGCTGAAGCCCTGGGAGATGTGTCCATGGCGGGCCCTGCAGGGCTGGAGCAGTCACCTACCTTCAGCAGGCAGGGAGCTGCTCCAGCCCCCACTGGTTAACCAGAACTGGTAAGCATCACCCATTAAGACTGATGCTAACCAGTTAACCGGTTAATCTTTCACATCCATAATTTCAAGTGTCTTGAAAATGTCAGCTCGCCAGTGAGGTTACAAGAGAGTCCTGAAACAGTATTTTCCTTGCACTGAACAAGTCAACAGATTAATAGGGATTTCTGCCTCAGCAGAGGACACAGAATACAATGGTTTTGCTCCTACAGGTTGAACCTCTCTAGTCCGGCTCCCTCAGGACCTGACTGGTGCCGAACCAGACAATTTACTGGACCATGGGAAGTCAATATTGTCTAGCACTGGGCTGTTACAGGACATTTAGGGGTAAATTAGAGCTAAAATAACAGAACACTGAAAGCTAGGGCTGGAGGCTATAAACAAACTCCATGGGACCACGGGAAACTTGGCCATGCCCTTGATAAGTGGACACCCGGCTAACTAAAATCATGACGGCCCATAGATGTTTCCAAACCAGAGAGTTCTGGACTAGAGAGGTTCGACCTGTACTTGCTCATTTGTAAGATTTTCTGTTATTTTGTTCTCACATTCTAGTTGATGTTGTGTGTCTAGAACCAACCACTGATTAAGAGATCAGCAAAAGCTTGAAAAGAAGGAATTCCATTCAGCATTCCTCAGCCATTAAAACTCAAAGAAAAAACAAACGCCAGGTCCATCACCTTCATCATGAAGAAATGGGAGAAGCACAACAGAAGCCTGTTCTGACTTTCTGTGCCCCACCATTATTCAAAGCAAAGATCTCAGTAATGCATGGAAAACTGCACAGAATGTCTCATAGATCTTGCAGCCCAATTTAACACCCATTCAAATCCCCCAAAAACCTCTCACTGACTGAAGTGGGGGTTGCCTTGGTCCTAAAGGAACACCAACATTTGGCTTTCAGTTTATAGAGTACTCTTGATTTACACTTGTGTAACTCAGATTCCAAATAACTATCTTTAAGACACTTGAGCCCTCAAGTCACAGTGGCGTAAGTCACACTAGAACCTAGCCCTACGCAGGGAGCTCCAGAACACTAAACTCATTTTTGTTTCGTGTGAAACATGTAGAGAGTTTCACTGCCCATTCTACCAAGGATGGATCATCTAAACTTGTGTTGAATTAAAGCATTTTAACAGAAATATGAAAACATTTCAGCTAGCTAGTTTAATAGCCCTTTTCCCAAGCCACTGCCAGCTATCGGCAAGAGAACAGAAAATAGAGACATAACACATCATACAGAATCAATGTAAGAATAAGGAGAATAAATATTATATGTATATTTGAAAAATATACTGAAATATATTTCATTTTACATAAAAATAACTCAAAGAATGGCACAGTATTGCTGAGACAAATTTCATTACTTTATAGAAGCCATTTTTGCTGACATGGAAAATATTTGACAATGGCTAACAGACAGTTAAGCTTACTGTAGCCTGCTGGAAAGTTTCTGGATGAGGTCCGCTTCTCTCCTTTTGAAAGTGAACGGGACAATGTGATTACTACCCAGTGTTGCTTGTGTATCACTTCCGCCAGGAAAAGAGTTGTGAAAATGACAGGAAAACATGGTGCTGTTATCACATGACACAATAACGTACAACACATACTCATCTACATATACTGCCTTTGTCATGGCTAGCATCAGAAATTAGTGTACATTATGTTTTTCTTCCCCATTAAGCCTTACTAATAGACCAATGCAATAGTTCTTGCATTTGAAGATCTTTGAGCTGCACTGTTACTGGTAATACATTATATTGTATGCCTTTTGTTTTCTTCAAGCAATGCAAATATTTTCAATTTTAATATTAAAAACACTAATTGGAACAATTTACGAACAAAACAAGTGAATATTAACAACACTCAAACTGCACAGATCCACTACATTGATGATCATCACATAGTTCTTCTTGGGTCTGATAAAGAAGAATTTCTTACTACAAAAACTAGTGTGTCTACACTGCAAGTTTATTTCAGAAAAAGCTATTCCAGAATATCTTCCAGAATCTTATTTCAAAACAGAATGTCCACACCACAGGGAAGCCTCAAAATTAGTCGAAGGCAGGCTGCCCTAATGTGGACTCACTATCTCAATTTAGAGATAGTGGCACTGGGGAGGAATAACTTTAGAAAGGCCCTGATGAGGAGATATTTTGACACAGCAGCTGTGGAGCGTCCACAAACACTCTCTTCTGAAAGAGCTTTTTTGGAAGAAGCATTATTCCCTGTGGAATGAGGTTTACCAATGTTGGAAAAAGCCCTCTATTATTTTGATTTTCTTTCGAAATAATGCAGTTGCTGTGTGGACACTAGTATTGATTTTCCAGAATAAAGACTGTTATTCTGGAAAAAAGTGACAGTGTAGACACACCCTTTTAGTGGTGATTATGCCCATTTAGACCTGTCAATCCAAGTGAATCAGCCTATCCACTACTAAATACTATTTTATGTCTTAGACACACTAGATCCTTCACTTTTATTTCCAGACCTTTGCAGCTAACAGAAGAGCCCAAGGCTACATACTACTGCATGCTGTGGGCCAGCTCTGGATTACAGCCTTTCACAAGCATTCCAAGTAAGAAATGTCCCTTTCCCATCACCAGGACCCACTTTCAGCACAGATGGATTCTGGGTTACACCCTTTACTAAGGGCTATGGGGATGACAGACTGGAAATGGTCACTCACATACCTGTACATACAAATAACGGCTCACAATTTTTTGAAACAAATGAATGCCTTTGCTCAGCTCATCATCGGCAAAGGCCCTAGAACTAAGTGTATCTGTTACAACCGCTTGCTAATGGAGCCCTTGTCACTTTTCTTAAGACTTAAGTAAAAAAAGTTATGTTAGGCACTCAAGTTAAGTGCTAAGGAACCTACAAGCTCTAGATTGCATTGCTTTCTCTGTTTGAGCAGGGTCTGGAAGTTTAGGTAATGACACTTCTTGGCTAATTCTGAAATTCAGTGCAACTTTGAAGGAAAACCTAATCCTGAAAGTAACACAATGGTATCTGCTATAGAAGAGGACATGTCTGGGACAAAGGAATCATCCTGCCTGGAGAGAAAAGAGGATTGCCTGCCCAAAAAGCTGTATAAAACACAACTAATTCAGTGATTACAAGAGAGGCCATAGAAATACCAACTGGAAGATTCTAGTACAGCACTGAACATAACATATATTTTGAAGACAACCCTCAAATAAGTCATGGAATTGTGGCAGTGACTGATCATCAAATGTATCCCCTAAATCTAGCTCTATTGTGACTGTCTTTAAATGTGCATCCACCTAAAATGGTTCTGTCTACTCTATTTCAGATCTACAAAGTACTTTGGCTAAACAGATTTGGAAGCTCTCCTGGAGCAAAGCCAACAATGCCAGAGTACCAATTTTCACTTCATTAATTTCTGGGGAATGTTATGATGCTAAAAAGGGAAAAAGCATCATTCCTGAGAGAGACCTGTTTGAAACATCAGAGAGAATGCACATGCCCACTGGATTTCACAGGATTCCACAACCTCTTGGAAGATGGCTGTCACCCCAACCTAGTTGTCTTAACCTGGCAACAATGGACACTACTGATATCTAATTCATCGTGATTACTTGCCAGCAATGATACCACTGAGGCAAAGCATGAAGGAGAAATGGCATATCCAGCACTACTCCAAATACTGTAGGTGTTCCACAAAGGAGGGGATCTGGCATAATGCAAGGAAAGAACTTCCCAGGACTACATGAGATCCATTGGAATTCTGACTGGGACATCTGGTTCTGAGGCCTTCCAACATGCAAAGCTTTGATGATGGAGCACAATTCCATTTATCTGAGATTCACAGCAGAGGTCTGCAGTCCCCTAATCACAATACAGAAGGAACCTAATCCATTTTAGTCCAATTCAGATGTCTACTTCGCCAATGTGTGGAGTGGCTAGAATACTTTAATCATGCTGTTCAAAAAACAAACTTGTGCAATTCCTCAACAATCTTGATGCAGAGCATACAGTGTAACTATGGCAGAATAGCTCCTCTGCATGGGATCTTCTTTTCGGATACCTCTGCAAGGGTATTTTTGGTTTGGTTTGTTTTTTTGTGCATCTCATCCATTCAGCCCACATTATTTCAACTTCCCACACGATAAGGTGCAATGGTAACATGAACAGAGAAAAAAAGCTGGCAATTGTGACCAGGAGGGGTAAGCCACAGTTCTTCAAGTTTGCATCTTTTCCTCCTGTTGTTGTCCATTGCATGGTGCTTGGCACAAGACAGAGGCATGATTTAAGAGGAAACGACCTGTCAGTTTCGAATCAGTGGACCAAAGGATTCAAAACAGCTCAGTAACCAAACAAAAACACAAACTGCTGCTCATGTGACAATGAGATTATTTTAATACTTAAAGAACAAAGTACTTGCCCTCTGTTTTGATTAAATTCAGCAGG